TATTAATGTAGCCCAACAGTCCCTGCATTGCTACATTTGGCTTACTGACTGACTTTGAACCAATCTTTCCCGCTGAGATTTGTGAGCAGTTAATAATTAAAAGCTGGAATGGAAACTCCAAAATCTCATGAATATGAAGTTGCTGAGGTAGGGATTCTTTGCTGGACTGTTAGTTTGTTTTATTGTTTGCGTGTATAGAGTTTGGGATATGCACTTGGCGTTCCTCAGCTGTTCTTGTGGTGATCATGGGTCTCCACAAGTGTTGGATAGAACATTTCAGGATATTTCTTCAGTGGTAATAAAAGAAAGTGCCCAAATCACCTTTGCCTCTCGACCCTGAGTCCAATACTTTATAAACTCCAACACCGTGTCTGCTGATGGGATGATCATGAATGATTTGAGGAGAGAGTCTTCTTCCATGAACTATAACATGAATGATCTTAAATTTCGGAACATTTTTCAGCCAAGAAGTCCTTGTTCGCATCAAATGGAGAATAACCTCGTAACCAAGTACAGCATTGAAGCTCCTTCGCACCTTGTTCAATTATGATCAATGGTAATTATAAATTAGCTCAATTAGGATAACCCACAAAGCACTGGTGACTCACTTTCAGAGATTGACAAGATGATCCAGCAGCAGTCATAATTACTGAAGTTAAGTTTTTGTAGCCAGCAAGGAATGAGATAGGAAGGGTTCTATTCTTAGTGTTTTAGTCACCGCATATTATTTTGGATTGAAATCGGATATTGTCCCTATTGTTGGTCTTTTCTTGCGCTATCTAACCTGATTCCACCTTCTTGCTCAACATTGTGACAGCGGGCTCTCTTCTCCTTTTATGGAAACCAAGCTGTGTGGCCTACAACCGAGGGCAAGATTGGATTTCTTATGCCCTCAAGGCCAATAAAAACTTGCCCTTACAGGAACTCAGTTCTGGGTTATGTGCGGCATTCTTCATGTGAGATGTTGAGCAAAGTTCTTAAATCCCTAATGTGTGCTTTCTTTAAGTGGTGTTTTTGAGAAACTTTCTTCCTCCTTTGGGAACAGAGTAGAGAACAGAAGCGCTGTACCGCTTTCTTGACTAGGACACAACCAGAAATAAATACTGATCCAAAGGATCACTCATACTTTTTTGGGGGAGAGTTTCATGCGGGGTTACTCTGAGCTGTGCCAGGCACCGAAGATAAATTGTCTTTATTTTTTGAGTTGGATATAATCATATTGGACAAAGGCCCAAACTGTAGGGACACCAACAAGGTTAGCAAGAATAATAACTTGGTTAAATTATGGAGTGAGAGTAAATGGGTGACCATTTTTGGGTTTTCTAAAACCTGAAGAGGCTGTAGGGTGAAAAGGCTGAAGAAAATTAGGAAATATTTGATCCTGTAGAAAACCTGTCACAAATTCTGCTACACCTTAAAGATGTGAAGGTATTGGAGTGGGTGCAAAAAAGACTCTCCAGGATCGTTCCACCAAATAGACTGGAGAGGTTGGGATTGAGACTGGGACTGTTTTCTTTGGCGAAGACACAGTTGAGAGGAGATTTGTTGGAGGCATTGAGAGGGTTCTGGCCAGAGTAGGCAGGGGAAAATTATTCCCACTGAAACGAGAAACACATGTATGGTAATTGGCAAAAGAAGCGGTTGGAGACTTGAGAAGTTACTTAATGCAGAAATTGTGATCAAGTCAGGTGCAATCAAAACTTTCAAGATTATTATCTAAAAAGGTAGAATGTGCAATGGGCGAAGGCAGGAGTATGGCACCAGGTGCATTGCTTATTCGGACATCCAGCACAAAAACAGACACAATTGGTTGAATCGCCCTATTCTGTAATTTCAAAAAAAGTGAGAATCCAGGAAGGAAGTAGAATATTGTATGCAGTGCACCTTCTGTTTAGAAAGAATAAGTGGAGCAAGGAATGAAAGAGACAAAAAGTTGAGGGAGATTGTCCAGGAGATGATGCAACGAGGCTTTTATTTTCTGTGCTGTCAGGGGTGCAGGAGATTTGGAGGAGTATCCCCGATGTGGGAGCAGTGTTCACATTTGAATGGATTTAGGCTTTACACCAGGTAAAAGGTGGTTGATGAGGAGTGAAAATACTGGTACGAATGAGGAAGTCACACTCTGTGGATTGAGCTTCGCAACTGGAAGTGTGCATGATTCACTTGAGGTCGCGAGATGATTAGGTCAAAAGGTTAATAGGTTAGCTCCTTTAGATGTGCAAAAATCATGAACTGTAGGAGTGAAGGTGCACTTTGGTAGTGAGGCAAACAGAGTGAATTGGCAGCCTCCCTTATGCCCAATGAAAGTTTTCCTGTCAGTTTGTGGGACTGCCAAAGACTGATTTCATGCCTTGTATCTTTTGATAGCTGAGCGTTCATTGGAAGGCAAGTAGTGAAAGAAACGGTAATGCTCAGTCGGTGAGCAGATTGGAATTAGACAGAGAGACCATACAATCTGAGTATGTTGCTGGAAATGTGTGACCAGCAGCCAAAGGGTAGATGAGTTGACTGATAAATTGAGCAAGTTGAGGTGGAACAAAGTTGGTTGGAGTCCTGAATTTAATATTTGGCATCGTTCTGCAGACAGAATAATTTCAGGGTTAACTGGAAGATGGCTCTTCTGGATAATTTGCTCACAAAAGCGCAATGCAGAACCTATCCAAGATTTGCAAGGCGCCAATAAATGACAAATCAACCATGCAAGGGCATAAATTAATGGTGGGTCTGTTCCATATCCATGTGTGATGGGTATAGTTGTGTGGATAAAATAAAATGGATTTTTTTTTAAAAAAAAAGCATAATTTCCTTTTCGAAAGGGTGTAGTTCATAGTCTGTGAATCATTTTTCAGTAAAAAGTCTATTTCCAAGTAATAAGCCTATTTCCAGCTTGTGAATTGCTTCGGGGCTCCCATTGACTTCATTGTAGATGGTCAATTGATACATTCAGGGATGTTTCTTGCACCACTCCCAACCCAAGTTAGGACCTTGTGATAGATGTCCAAGACCTGCCTACTGAGGTTGAAATCCATTTGTCAAGATGATGATCCTTTAGCTGTCCAATTGCCACACAGTTGAAACCTGCTTGTTTTAATGTCTGGTGGATTAAAACTTTTTGTCAGCATCCATAATTTGCATGGAGACCATCACTGGGATTTACAAAACGTCATCCATTTCTTAATGTGTAAAGTATGAAATTTATTTGTAACCTGAAGAACCAGATCCCACAGCAAAATGAATCATGAGAAAACTGTGCTCCTCTTTCCTGTGTGCTATACTAGTGTTTGGGATCTGGTTGCAAACATATGAATTTGGAGGTGAAGTAGGCCATATGTCTCTGCTCCTCCATTCATGGCTGATCCATTTGAGTTTCGGATTGTGACATTCCCATACCACCTTTCCCTCCGCCCCCCCTCCCCCCCCCCCCCCCCGCCCGCGATTAACCTTTGATACCTTGCCTACCGCAAAGCTCAACTTTGACCCATCGCCTCAACTCCACAGAGGAGTCCAAACCTGGAAGCCATATTTGTTTCACAGGACTTCTATTGAACTTTTCCTCCCGCATTAGTTCGGCTGCTCAGAGCCGTGCAGAGGATCCCAGCCCATGCCCATGCCTGTGCCCAACAATGTGCCAATGCATTTGAATCAAATGCCACAGTGGCAATGATGGTGAACTATTTTGGCTAGATAACAAGCTGGCAAAATTAACCTGTCCCTGTGCTGTCGTGATGCTTGTTAAATACAGAGAGGGTCGGGTTGCCATGTGACCTTCACGTCCTTGACTATTTTTAAAAAGTTTCAGCAACTGCAGGTGTCAAACTTAATTGCACTTTCGAGATTTCTCCTGTGTGAATCATTTCAATGAAATCTGTCTTTGAGTGGAAAACCTCCAAGGGATGTGCAGTTCCTTGTCTTAAGCACTTATTTTTAGCCTAAGTGATGATAATGCGGGCGGTAACAACAGGAAGAATAACATTACGTTTGTTTCCACCATTTTTTTGTTTTTAAACTTTCAGTGAGCCATGCGGCACTTGTTTTATTTCGTCTTTCATTATGCTGTGCTACTTGGAAGCCTGTAGCTTGCACTTTGGCTTCTAACAACATTCCCATGCTTTGTCACTGTTGGAATTGATGGCAGCCTCTCCGTTGACTTTCTGCTGTCTGCCAACACACACACACATCACCCGCTCTTTTCCCCCGCATCCTCAAATGCGCCCCATCCTGCCCCAAAACACCTAATGAGAAAGCAGAGATGCCCTGTTGTTCTGAGTTAGGTTTAATTTTCAGAATTGGCAGTGAAGTGACAGTCCACGAACCTATTCCAAACCAGAAAGCATGTTGACATCTTTGCTGTGTGGATATGCTGATAAAATAATAAAATTGCAGTTGCTGTAGACAACTGTGTGTTATGTCTGTGCTCTCCTCTAACTCTGGCCACATACATGTCTTTTTCATTCATTGTTCTATTGTTGGCATCCATGCTCCCTTGGCCCTAGGTCAATGGAATCGGCTCCCTAAATCCCTCTGCCCCTCTACTTTTATCACCCTCAGTGAGATGCTTATTAAAACTGAAGCTTTCAACTGAACCTTTGGTCACTGTGAAGTATTGGGATCAACATCAGCATTAATGATGGTGTCAGTGTCGCAGGATTTGTGTAGAGAGAACTACAGTGGAGCAGAGACTTTACCAGGGTCTTGACAAAGTGGGAGAGAGAGTGAGTGACAATCTGAGAGTACACGGTTCTTGTGGACAGTTCCGTGGACTCCAGCTATCTTGGAAAACTAACTAGAATTGGATCTCAACCATGCAGAAGTCATTTACTCTAACATCAGAATGTGGCTTGGTGAGAAATTATTGTTTGATTTCACTCCCGTGGATCACCTTGGGATGTTTTAATTGCATTAAAAGTTCAATATCAATGCAAGGTGGTGGAGTGGAAGCGAAATGTTGAGTCACATCTAGTGTATTAATACCTGATTCGGTTACTTGTCCATTTTGACAGCATTCGTTTTACTGCCGCTTGACTGAGGATAAGAAGTCTGAGAAATTCTTCAAGGTGTTTTATGACCGGATGAAGCTCGCGCAGCAAGAGATCAAAGCCACAGTGACTGTAAATACCAGCGACCTTGGCAATAAAAAGAAAGACGATGAATCTTCAGAGAGGGACGTGCCAGTGCGAAGAAGAGGTAAGAGGCAAGGCTGGGATTGGAGAATGCTCTTGTGTATGAAGGAAGCACCTTGCCAGGCACATGGTAGATTAATTATTTGTTCTAATTGCCATTATTATCCTAAAATTGAAACTTTAATTACTTCACATAATTGTATTGAGACCTGTTAATTGGTCCTAGGAATTGGAAAGCAGTACATAATTTTCTGGTTTAAGGTGCCTTTGCAGTTTTCTCTTAGTGTCATTACTTTTTAGAACTGATGAATCAAAGCCTTAAGTGCTCCACAGCAGATTTAAAAGCTGTCCCCAGCTGTAAATAAAGGTTGTAAAATGTGAACCAGTCCAGAGGAATTAGCAAGGGCAAAATTCTTGGAGAGATAAGTGGAATCACGTACAATGAGTCCGAGTTGGAAGCAAGTTTAACTTGTTGTCTGAGGAAAGCCAAGTCATTCTCGTGTTGGCATTTTCCTCACCAGTTTTCAATCCCAGGTTTAAAAAGAAGGAAGGCCTTTATCTGCAAGTCACTGTTTCCTTTCTGCAGGAATTGTACAGAGGCCAACTTCTGTACTTCAGCCCCCTTCAATGACTCTACTTTCCCACCTGCCAGACACTATTTGGTTGTCATCTTGAACATTCCTTGAGATGTTCAAGGGATTCTTAACCCATGTGCAGTGGGTAGGTCATGGTTTATATTGGAGCTATTCCTCCAAAGCATAATAACCATAAATAGTTCCTTTCAAAGGACTATAGGGCAAAATAAACAGCCATAAACACCAATATTTAAAGCAATGCTGTCTACCACCTGGAAACTCACCTGCGTCATCTCCTTAAATGGAGGGACTGCAAGTGGATAGAGGGGGTTGAAAGAATGGCGATCTGCAACCAGTTTAGACAATGATTAACCATCTTTTGAACCCATTCAATCAGTTCCTGCTATCGTAGGAGAATTTGAAAGGATATGTAACTCCAATGTCTGCTTACTGTTCTGGCACAGGAGGAGGCATTTAATTCCCTCATGCTAGGGGGTAGGGTTCCTATCCAGTTGGGAGGTGGTGGGTACAGCTGACTGGAAAGTCAAGAAGCTGTCTCAAAATGAAGGGACCCCCTACCTCGCTCTCTGGAGGGCATCTCAGCCATTGAGATCCAACCCATTTGCCCTTAGTTGTAAAGAATAATTATTCTTAATCAACCTGTTTGGGCATATTATTGACACATCTGTGGCCATTACATCCTGAGGTGGAACCTAATCCTCTGGCCCACAGGCAGGGACACTGCCACTTGCGACAAGACTCCTGTTATCTAGTCCTTAACTGTATGGTGAGCCTGTTGTCTGACTGCAAATTCACCGATTAATGGAAAAGCATTCTCGGGTGATTGCTTGTTTGAGTCCCATACAATATGTGGCTCTGACCCCCATTTGATCTTGCCATTGAGATCCCAACTGAAAGGCCAAAATCTACCCTCAGCCTCCAGTTTTTCAGGCTGGAAACTCTAAATACGTACACACTGTTTTTGTTAATCTATATTTATTTGCAAAAGTTTTGAAGTCCTGAAGAACTTGAAGTGATAAATTTGACTGAATATATTTGGAGCATCACTTTGCCAGTCATTCTCAGAACAGAGCTTGTAATTTAAGTCATTGGGCCCACAGAGACAGTTTCCTCTAGTCTGAAGTGATATGATTTGTGGCAAAAGATTATTGTCAAGTTAAGAGCGTAATCCTTTCTCAACAAGGGCACTGACTAACCAGAAATATCTGCTCCCATCAAAAAATGTATGTGGTTCAGTCGGATATGTTTTCATAGTTGCGGAGTGAGAGGAAGATCTGGGATTCACAATGTCTGATCCAGTGGAGGGTTATGATTGGTGTTTACTCGGGATATGGGGAAATCGGGTCAGTGTGAGAATGTTATTGCTAAATCAGTGCAAAATGTGAAACGGATATTCTTTGCCTACCAACAGCTAGCATTTTGAGTCCAGGTTTGGCCAGCCCACAACATAGAGGGGGTGCCAAAGTAACATGCAGGGTGTGGATGCAATTTTTAACACTGATCAATAGATTATTGTTAATGAAATTTATTCAGCAAAAAGGACCAACGGTGGATAAATAGAATTCAACTGGAGATTAGCCACAGACTATCTGATTTAACAGAACAGACTCCATAATGCTGTAGAAAACAGTGTGGAGCTGGAGGAACACAGCCGGCCAGGCAGCATCAGATGAGCAAGAAAGCTGACGTTTCGGGTCGGGACCCTTCTTCAGACCCTTTTTCTGAAGAAGGGCCCTGACCCGAAACGCCGACTTTCCTGCTCATCTGATGCTGCCTGGCCTGCAGT